CTACCAGCAAGAAAATAGGGGCTTGGCTGGTTAGCTTAGTTAGCCAAAAACTCAGTTAGCTCGGTTAGCCAGTAACATTAAGGTCCAGAGTTTGATCCCTGTACTAGCCAACTGTAGGGGAAAAAAAGAAAAAAGAAAAACAAAAAAAATAAGTGTTGGCAAGGATGTGAAGAAACTGGAACGCTTGTGCACTGTTGGTGGGAATGTAAAATAGTACAACTACTGTAGAAAACAGTATGGCAGTTCCTCAAAAAATTAAAAATAGTATTACCATATGATCAAGTAATTCTGCTTCTGGGTACAAACCCCAAGGAATGGAAAGCAGTGTCTCGAAGAGAGATTTTTACACACATGTTCATAGCAGCATTATTCACAATAGCTAAAATGTGGAAGCAATCCAAATGTCCACTGATGGACAAATGAATATTAAAAATATGTTATGTATCTCTGTGTTTATATGAGTATTATTTAGCCTTCCAAAGGAAGGAAATCTGACACATGCTATGACCTGGAAGAACTTTGAGGACATATGCTAAGTGAAATAAGCCAGCCACAAAAAGACAAATATAGTATGATTTCACTTATATGAGGTACTTAATCAAAATCAAAGAGACATACAAGGATATTTCAGAAAGTTCATGGAAAAAGTCATACTATCTCTTAATTCTATTTTTCCACAAACTTTTTGAAGTAACCTTGTAAAGTAGAACAGTGGATGCCAGGGACTGGGGGAGAGGGGAATGGGGAGTTATTGTTTAATGGGTATAGAGTTTCAGTTTTGCAAGATGAAAACAGCTCTGGAGATAGATGATGGCGATGGTTGCACAACGACATGAATGTACTTAATACAACTGAACTGTAAATTTTCAAAATGATTAAAAAAGTAAATTGTTATATAAATTTTACCACAATAATAAAAGTTGATAAAAAAAAAAATGTGAGCTCAATCTTACTGTGAACATGAGTCAAACACAAATTGAAGGATATTAAGTAAATTGTTATATAAATTTTACCACAATAATAAAAGTTGATAAAAAAAAAATGTGAGCTCAATCTTACTGTGAACATGAGTCAAACACAAATTGAAGGATATTCTACTAAGCAGCCTGTTCTCTTTTTGGGTCACTCATGATAGAAGACAGACTGAGAAGCTATTACAGCTTAAAGGATACAATGATATGAAAACCAAATGCAATGTGTGGTCCTGAACTGGTCAAAGGACCTGTTCTTTTTTTTGTTCGTTTGTTTTTGTTTTTATCTATAAAGTACATTATTGGGGCAATTGGTAAAATCTAATTAAGGTCTGTAGATTAAATAATAATATTATATTAATGTTAACTTCCTGATTTAGCCTACCATACTGTGAATATTCTTGCTCTTAGAGAAAAAGCATTTAGCATTAAAAAATATTAATATTTAGGGGTAAAGTGGCATGAGTCTGCAACTTCTAAATGGTTCACAAAAAATTTGTAATAAAAACATATAGAAAGAAAAACGATAAAGTAGATGTGTAAGTAAAACTATTAACAACTGGGGGACCAGGGTAAAAGTACATGAGACTTTATACTATTCTTACAGCTTTCTGTAGGTCTGAAATGATTTCAAAACAAAAAATAATGCAAAAATAAACAAAGAACCCTCCAAAAAGCAAATAGAATAAGGGTACTGCATTCGGGGGTTAGTGTGCAATTAAAAAAAGTTCATCCAGATAATCCAAAGTATGCTATATATTTAAGAGTACCCATAAGATGAAAATTTGGGTTATACCAATGACCCAATCATTTAAGACCCAACATTCAGATATTCTGTGAAATGTGAAAGGTCCAGAGGCAATAGGATGCTCTACTCTGGACATACCTCTACTGTAATTACTATCATGCCATGTGAGAATTATATGTTAACTTGTATCTTGCACAGATAGTAGGCTCCTAGAATACAGAGACAATGTTATATTCATCTTAGTATCGATATAATCTGAACAATCACAAAAACTGAATGAAAACTAGTGCACTCTAAAATACATGTCTGAATATCAAGAAAGACTTCACACACAAAAAACTAGCTATAAAGCATTTTCAACAGTACCTTAATTACATGATGGCTCTTCAGAATTGACAGAAATAAAAGCTTAAAACATCTAGTTTTAAAGAACAGTACTTATTCTGGGATGAGAATAAACCTTTGAATTTAATAGGCTGGTATCACAGAGATGATGTGGTTACATCCCCCGTAGGAAGAACTAGCATCTGTTACTCACCTACTATGTGCTCAGTTTCTATGTAGAGAAACTGAGGCTCTGAGAAGTTGAGTAATTTCCCCACCATCACACATCTAGAAATGAGTAAGGCCAGAATTGGTGGAGTCTGGTCTGACTATAAAGTCTTTGTGCAACTTTAAGCAGCCATTCAATATATCTTTCTCCGTAACCCTTTGTATAACAAACATGATAATTTCTACTTGTAGAGGGCTTTCATAAGGTTCAAATGATATGATCAATATAAAAGAATTCTGAAAAGTACAATAGTGTTCTTCAAATAATGAAATACAATATACTTTTTCCAAAAAAATTATCATTTATCTATCTTTCTAATTTGCCTGACCCTCAAACTCACTTTGAAGTAGTCAGTGTGGTGTTGCCCCCATTTTAACAGATGAAGAGGTATAAAACTCAGTGATGGTAATAAACTTGTTTGAGTGACAAAAATAAGTCTACATTCTAAATCTTGAGTCTTCTGCCTCTATTTTTATTACATTCTGATGCACCTAAATGTACACTAGTGGATCTTTAGAAAAAAAAATTATATGCATTTACAATGTTAAAATTTGGCTATATGTTTTTTAAGTATGGATTTCAAAATTTACTTGGAAACTAACATTTTAATCAGTTGTATTAATTTTATAAGGTACTTGTTATACTGGATTAATTAGGAACAGTCTTACTTATTCTAGCATAGCCATCAGCTTCTCACATAATACAACATAAATTGTTAAACTATTTTCCATGGACTAGTACAGTGAGTCTAGGCAGAATAAATAGGCTTTTTTTTTTTCTGTGTACATATCCTCACTTTTTAAAAAAAAATTTGCACCTTAGTTTACTGTCCCAAAGAAATATGAGATAATACTAATAACAAGAATAGCCAAGATTATGTGCCAGCTGCTGTGTCATGTACTTCACATGCATTAATTATCCTCTCACTCACTGTAAAACACCTCAAGTTAGTATTATTATCATCTTCAGTGTTATAGATGAGTAAACAGAAGCTCAGTGCGGTTAAGTAAACTGCTCAAAGTTACATAGCTAGTAAATGGTAGGAATGAAGTTTCAATCCAGGTCTGACTCTAAAATCTATATTTTTAACTACATGGCTATATGATGTCTCAAAAATTTCCAAGTGTAGTGGAATGCTAAGTTAGGGACACTTGGAGTAAACAAATGAGAATTCTGAACTGGAAAGAACAAGTTCATAATTGAACATAAGAACAGAGGTAAAAATTTCACAGGATTCTAGAAAACTATTTTAATCAAAAAGTTGAACTGAAATGATGAGAGTAAAATAAATTTTCAAATCTCATTTCAAAAAATATACTAATAGGTAAAAATTTCACAGGATTCTAGAAAACTATTTTAATCAAGTTGAACTGAAATGATGAGAGTAAAATAAATTTTCAAATCTCATTTCAAAAAATATACTAATAAACCTTATATACTTGGAAAGGCATTACATTATTACGACGTTACAATAACCCTCAGGCTGCTCACTCAGAATTATAGTTTATTTATAAACTCAGTTTCTTCTCTGCAATACAGAGACAGTATTCATCTGGATTTATCTATTCAGTTGTCGGTGGCTTTATAATGATAATTTTTAATAATTTTCATAAAAAGTCAAAGATTATACAGAAGTAGTAATATCATTATAATTATAATTCAGTTTTATAAGTACAGTAAGACTAAAATCTTATTTTAATATTGTCATTTCTCCTTTACTATTTTGTATGTTCCTATTGATTTTCACTTTTTAGGAGAGGGGAAGGGCACTGAGATGTGAGTAACCACAGTTGATATATCATTTTTTCCCCAATGGGGATTACTTTGAAACTGTGCTTACACAGTAACAATACTATGCTTACCTAAATTTTATGCTAAAAAACTGTAACAGCAAAATAGCTATATTATTATTAATAAAATATCTATACCCATATTATTAATAATATAATAAATATAATTTATTTACACTTTAAATGAAATTGAGGTCTTTCATACCAAAGATTCTTATTATACTTAATAATATCACCATTAATTTGACTTTGGATAACTCTATGGGAAGGGCACTTAATGTCTTGATAAGCCAACTCTTTGAACTCCTAAAGTTCTGGAAACTAAAAATGATCAGATCCTCTGACATTTGGCTATTATTTTATTTTATTTTTTAACTGCTATATATAACTTTTAAAAAATTACAGAAAAGCTGCCAAGATAGCACAAAGAGTTCCCATATGCTCTGGATACATCAGCTATTATTTTAAACTAATAAATGTGAAGTATGTTATCTAACCAAATGATGGAGAACGAATCTTTCTAAAGAAGATAAATACCGAGAAACAAAGGGCAATATAAAATGATATATCCAGTACAAGATCAGGAGTAAATGATTTTTATTATCTACAGAAAATAAAATTTTCTAAAGCAAATATATTTACAGACTGCTTTTAACAGATTTAAAAGTACAAAAGGCATGATAACAAATCGAAGGAAGTTCAATATTATGAAGATAAGTTTAGAATGTGTCCTATTTCACAGACACCCTAATAAAAGGGCAAATGTAGAACCCATTTTATATTAAATCCCAAATATTTAATTCCCTAAAAATAACAATTGAAGCTCAAAGTAAATTAATAAATCTAACAAAAAATAGTTAAAACAGTTGTAAAAGAACACAAATAAAACATTAAAAGTAAATTAAATTTTTATAAAGAAAAAAGAAACTAATAAAAACCTGTGGTACGGTGGGTGGGATGACAGTATTCTCAGCAGGGACTGGCAGGACAGGGATCACAGGGACAGTGGGAGAAGAGGGAGGAACAGCTTCTGTTGGCTAAAAATCATTAATGACAAAAAATCAGGAAAAACACCAAAATAAAGGGGAAACACATAACAGAAAATTGTGCCATAAAGATAAATTACAGTTTTCATAAATAACAAATAGGTAAAATATTAATATATTACTTTAAAAAATGAAAAAATGCTCTCTAGAAATTACTTTAAAAATAATTATACCACCAATAATAATTATAATGACTGTAGTTAAAATGAGTAGCTACTCATTAGATGTTTAAATGAAAATAACAAAAGATAATTACTTAATACAACTTATCTAGGAGATAAGACACTTGCTTTATAGACAGACTGCAAAATATTTTTCTAGCATTCAGAATATATATATTTGGCTGCTTTTCTCTTTGCATTCAAAGAACCAAAAGTAATTTTATTAGCCCATCAGGCAGACAATGAGTGTTTATAAATTCACAGACAAAAGATTACAAAGGACTTCAAAATTAAATTTATATCACTTAAAATAATCTGTGCTATTAACCTCTACAAATCAAGAATAGTAATAACCTGCCTCAACCTGCCTGTACAATTATTAATTCAATTAACATTAATTGTCTATTATGTGCCAGATATATTCTGGCAAAAATGAAGAAGGAAAAAAAAAAAAAAAAAAGGTAGAGAGAACCCTAGTGATAAAACTCAAAAAAGTTAAAAAAATTATGTTTAATTACTCTATTTGGCTTGATTTGATTATTTTTAAAAAGATGTAACTGGAACACAGGAACAGTGCTTTATAAGAAGATCCAATCTCTATAAGCTAAACTAATTCATAAAATAAAAGAAAAACACTAAACTCAAGTAGATAAGAGAGCATTGTGCATTAACAGAGACTTAAAACAGGAAAAACAACTTGCTAAACTTGAAACTATGTTTAGCCTCACCAATAAATAAATACAAAATAAAATTACAATGATGAACTTTTTACCTATCAAATTAATCGATTTATTAAAAATCAAGTCGATGATGCTGAAACTGGATATCCACATGAAAAACATTCCTACATCACATCATATACAAAAATTAACTCAGAATGGACCAATAACCTAAATATAAGGTCTAAAACCATAAAACTCCTAGAAGAAAACAGAGTTAAATCTTCATGACCTTCAATTTGGCAATGGATTCTTAGATATGTCACCAAAAGTGTAAGTGCCAAAAGAAAAAACCCCAGACTTCATCAGAATTAAAACATTTTGTGCACAAGAGGGCATTATCAACAAAGTGAAAAGACAACCTACAGAATGGGAGAAAATACTTGCAAATCATACATGTAGTAAGGGCTTAATATCTTTATATATATTAAAGCCTTGTATCTATACATATTAAAGCTTTATATCTATACATATTAAAGCCTTATGTCTATACATATTAAGCCTTATATTACCCCTACAACTCAACAACAAAAAGACAACCCAATTAAAAAAAAAATTGTGTGATGGAATTGAGTAGACATTTCTGCAAAGATCCACAAATAGCCAATAACCACATGAAAAGATGCTCAACATCATTAGTCACTAGGAAAATACAAATCAAAGCTGTAATGAGGTATCACTTCACATCTACCAGGATTATATTAAAACAAAACAACAAAGTTACAAGTGGTACCAAGGAAGTGGAGAAACTGGAACCCTCATATGCTAATGGAATGGAAAATGGTGAAGCCTATGGAGAAAGCAGTTTGGTAGTTCCTCAAAAACCTAACCACAGAATTACCATATGACCCAGCAATTTTACTGCTAGTATTTACCCCAAAGAACTGAAAACCAGGATTCAGATACCTGCATGTCAATGTTCAATGCAGTATTCACAATAACCAAAAGCTGAAAACAAACCAAGTGTCTACCAGCAGATGAATGGATAAACAAAATGTGGCATATACATACATGGATATTATTTAGCCTTAAAAAGGAATTAAATTCTTTTTTTCCCCTCCCACATGACAGGCGGGGATACTCACCACTATACCAATGAAGAAGGAATAAAATTCTGATAAATGCTAGAAGATGGATGAACCTTGAAAGCATTATGCTAAGTGAAATCAGTCAGACACAAAGGACAAATACTGTATGATTCCACTTAAATGGTAAGTAAGTTTTGGTAGATATATTTTACAATAAAAAATTTCCAAAAAACCTTTTAAATGCATAGAAATAGCTTTTACACTGCTGCTGGATATATAATTTCATACAAAATTTAAGAAAAGCAGTTTGGCAGTAAATATCTAGAGCCTTAAAAATATCTAAACTCTTTGACTTAGTAATTCTGGAAATCTACCCTAAGGGAATAATTTAAAAAGCAAATGTTCTAATACTCTTAAGGTATTCTCTTGAGCACTGTTTATATTTGGGGAATTGGGAAATATTCTAAACATCCAAAGGTGTCAGAATGGTTAAGTAAATAATGATAGTTATATAAGATTAAATATAATGCAGCAATTAAAATTACCTATAAGAACAGTTTATAAGTCATATGGGATATTGCTTATGACGTAACATTAAGCAAAAAAAGAAAAGATGAAATAAGTAAAAAAATGGAAAGAAATATTTGGAAGGTTAACCTCTGGGGGCGGGATCAGGAGTGGCTTTCCCCCTCTGCTTCTTCATTTTGCATTTTACTTTCCCCACTGTCAACAATGAATACACAGTGATGTTATAAATGCAGGGGGTAAGGGATTGTAGATCTATTGTGCACATTAAGAAAGAATTATTATGATCTTTTACCATCATATTTTCTAGAAAATAAACAGAAAAAGTACTTCACATTAGTTGTTCTAAGAGATACTACAAATTTCAATGATGTTATAAGAATATTAGAGTTGAAGAAGCTAGGGATCCAGTTCAACCCTTAATTTTACAACTGAAGTTCAGCTTTCAAGAGGTAGGTTGTCTAAACTGCAGGGAATTAAGAAAAAGAATTGATGGACTTCTGTTACCTGGATTTCTTACTCCCTGTAGAAAGAGATTTAAAACCATTGAATCCTGTGTTTTCTCTGGCTCTGTCTGCCTTTTTAATGTTTCAGTCCAAACCAGTTCCCAGTTTTGGATGACGAAAAGTTCTGGAGATGGAGAGTGACTATATTTGCACAACATTGTGAATGTACTTAATGCCACTGAATTGCATGTACATTTAAAATGGTAAATTTTATGTTATGTATACTTTACCACAATTTTTAAAAGCACATTATGAAAAAAGCATCTGTGGGTTTGGCTTGGGACTCAATCACCATTTATATATTGTTTCTATAGAAAACAAATTCTTAATTCCATATTATGAGGTTAAAATTAATAACAAATAGTAACCAATTTTTATTGGAGTATTTATATGACCTTTTAAACATGTTTGAAAACCCATAGGTTCTGACTCCTGATTTAAGAGAAAGTGTGAGAGAAGGGTGGTTTTGAAAGAACTGTTGTTGGATCAACTGAATATACATATGGAAAATCAAAGGAATACTATCCCTACCTTAAGCCATTCATAAAATCAATTGCAGATGGTTTGCTCACATAATTAAGAGAATTAAACAAAATAAGGCTTCTATAAGATAATATGGTGGAATATTGTCATGACCTTAGTGTAGTCAATGACTTGTTGAGCAGGAAAGTGCATATTGCTGAAGACAAAGGAGGGCAAGGACAGCACCTGTGCACAGGGAGTAGAAGTAAGGTGGCAGTCTGGCATAGGGTGCTCGAGACTGAGCAAGGTGAGAAGGGTGTGTCCATATGGGCAGAGCAGTAGCAGCAGGCTGATGTATGTTGTTGGAACCCAAGTGAGACACAGAGTATCTAATGTGTCAGTAGCAGTAATCTGGCACAAAATATAGGAGCATCACTAGAGATCCATTGGAGCTTGAGCAGAGTGAATATGGTGTCCAACTAGGGTAGTGATAATGACAGGAGATTTTGATCCAATAAATAAATACATAAAGGATAATGGAAGCAAGATTCCTCATATCAGAAAAGGAAGCTATAAATATGGAAAGGGAGAAAATTAGCATGAAACCTGTCGTGTTAGACTAGAATTGGAGGTATTGGTATGAACACATGGTTTTCAATATATAGACAGACACAGAAATAAATATAGATATAAATGTGTGTGAATGTACACACACACACACACGCACGTTATTCCCTAGCTCAGCCCACCAAAAGGACCTGGGAACAGTTAACGCCCCAACAGCATGAATATACCTAACATCCAGATCTTGATTTCTAAATACCCATTCTCCAATTAAAAAAACCAAAAAACCAAAGAGGGGTCTTTGGAGAAATGGCTGATTCTAGTGCTAGAGCTCAGCAAGTACAGTATGAACCTAGACATCTTGCTGTGCCAGAAAATAAGGAAAGGATCACATAATTGGGGTGTGACAAAGGACAAAGAAGTCAGCCTGAAGGGTGGCACTGGCCAGACTGGGAATAATCTGAGACTCAAAATAAATACTTGTAATGATAACAACGATGTAAAACCCACTGTATAAAACAAGAATCTAAGAGTCCACACTGATATAAATAAATATATGAATAAACAAATGGAGAGAAGAGAAAGCATTTCTTTAGAGCAGAATGCCAAATAAAAAATGTAGAAGGAATGACAGAATTACAAAATCATCATTTGGCAACCATCACAGTAATAATTCCTTCAAGAAACATCAATGGATGTTAAAACTTCTTGTTGCCACTAAGTGAAACTTCCATTCCAGTACATGAATGTTTGAATGGTACACACACACACACACACACACACACACACACACACACACACACACACACACACAAATGTATCTCCCATCAAAACATTTATTAATTAAAGTGGAGAAACCTAGCAGATACTATCTTAATCAAGTGACCAGAATTAATATCACCAGTAGTGGGATACACTGCAAATGTGGTATTTCAGAGGATGTAATGAGAGCACACCACTTCTGTGATATTCCTATCAAAGATGCATAACTCGAATGTAGTCATTAAACATCAGATGAAGCCAAAC